AAGCAAAGAGGGAAGGAAGAATGAACTGCAGTGTCTGAGTTGGACATATGGGCAGGAAATGGACTATTACAATTTCTCACTTAGTGTTGGGCTTAATTCTCTTGTGAAAGATGTGTGAAATGCTGCTTTATTTTATAAAAAGAGAGGAATCTACAGCTCTGAAACCCCTACTATCTGCCAGGCATGGTGAAATTAAAGACTTCCATATATAATTTTTCTCTATAAACATTATAAAAATATTTTTTGTACATTTGGGTTTTTATTTGTTTTTTAATATTCCATATAAACCAATGCAGTCAAAATTATAATGTATTTATTGTGTACATGATATTTATATTGATGTTTTCAACATCCCACAAGTAATTTTGCCATCATTGTCCTGGCTTTTTAGGAGCTAAGACAAAGATAAGACAGAATTATAAGTCTCCATATTATTATATTTATAATAAATAATTTCACAGAAAAGTATTTTTCCTCATCTCTGCTTACTATGTATTATATGAATAAATGAAAACAAGAGGCAACAATAATTTAGAAAAAATGTTGATAAATAAGAATGTTTAATAAATATAAATGTTTTGAATTACCAGCCACCTTGCACGCTCATACAAACTTCCCAATTTCAATTAAATTTTATTGATTGGAATGAATGTTTTCTGCATTCATTATTAACATTTAATATTACTCTTAAATAATAAACTTTAGAAACATGGTAGTGAATGAAAGAATTTTGATATTACATTACAATCTCTGGTGAATTTTCAGCAATTTATATGTGTTTTCAACTTGAATTTGTACGTGTATTTTAAATGCATAGATATCTCAATTATGTCATATACCTTTTTATAAAACAGAAAATATATTTTAAAACATTTTCAAAGATGTTAGTAGCAGCTGAGAAAAATATATGAAATATGTTCCAACCCCAGAGATGTTCTTGCCCAGAGAGAGTGTTAATATGTCAGGGATGTTTTAACTTCACGAACAACTTTAATCAACTCAAAAAGCTTAGTGCAGCAGGAAGGCATTTGGAAGGCAACTACATTTTATTTTAAAATTATGTGGTCCTTAAAATATAAATCCTAAGTATAAATGAAAGAAATTTTGACTTTATCTAAGTGCAGAAAGAAAAAGCATCATATTTCTAACATAAGGAAAATAAACAGACTTAGCCACTTCTCTTCAACTTTTATTTAGTTAGCATTTATCACAGACTCACTGCATCCTTTAATATTCACCAAAGAGTAATGGAAGTTACAAAATAAGGTAAACATCTCTATCTTTAAACTTGCATTAGAAAAATAGCCATGAATAAGACACAGAGATCATATTAACACTGGCAATATTGTGGCAGTCAGTACTTAAACATTTTTAGAATCACAAAGAAAAATTTTAAATATCTTGAGACAAATGAAAGTCAAAACCACAACCTACCGAAACGTACAGGATACAGTTCAAAGAGAAAAAAATATATAAAGCTGTAAATTTTTATATTAAAAAAAGCAATATCTCAAATCAACAACCTAACTTTACTTCTTAAGAAACTAGGAGTGGAGGGAAAGAATGAACAAAACTCAAAGTTAACAGAAGGAATAAAAAATAAAGATTAAAATAAAAATGTAGAGAAGAGAAAAACAATGGAAGAAGGCAACAAAACCAAGAATTTGTTCTTTGGAAAACAATTTTTTTAATGACAAACATTTAGTTAGACTGATTAAGAAAAAAGAGTGAAAAATCAAATAAAAATCAGAAATAATGTGAGGATATGACAACACGTTTTGCAGAAATTAAAAGAATCATAAGGGAATACTGTGAACAGTTGTATGCACCCCAAATGATAACCTAAATAAAATAAATAGATTCCTAAAATCACACAACCTACAAAGACTGAATCATGAAGAAACAGAAAATCTGAACAAACCTATAGCTATTAAAGAGATTGAAAAAGTAATCAAAACCTGACAAAGGAAAACTCAGGAGTAGATGGCTAATTAATAAATTATACCATCATCTTTAAAAATACTGAAACAAATCTCCCTCAAAGGCCATTCAAAACATTGAAGAAGGCACTTACAAACTGATGCTATGAGGCCAGCATTACGCTGACACCAAACAAAAATAAAAAAAGAGAAAATCATCACAAGAGAAAAAAAATACTATAGACCAATATTCCTGATGAATATTGATGCAAAAATATTAAACAAAATTCCAGCAAACATAATTCAACAGATCATTCAAAAGATTATATACTGTGACTGAGTGGGATTTGCTCCTGGATTGTAATGATGGTTTAACACATGGAAATCAATCAATGCAATACACTACATTAACAGAATAAACAATATTCTTTTGAAAAACATATTATCTCAATTAATGAAGAAAAGGTTTTTGAAAAGGTTCAACACCTTTTCATGTTAAAAAGACTCAATACACTAGTAATAGAAAATAACTATCTCAACGAAATAAAGACCATATGTAAAAGGCCCACAATTATCATGATACTCAGTGGTGAAAGACTGAAAACTTTTCCTCTAATCTCAGGCACAACACAAGGATGTCCACTTTTACCACTTCTATTCAACATACTACTGGAAGTCCTAGTCAGAAAAATTAGTCAAGAAAACATAAATAAAATTATCTAAATTGGAAAGAAAATAGTAACATTATCTCCATTTACAGGCAACATGATCTTATGTATAGAAAACCCTAAAGATGCCATTAAATATCTGTGTTAAATAATGAATGAATTCAACAAAGTTGCAGAATACAAAGTCAATACACAAAAAATAAGTTGTGCTTACATAGTCTAACAATAAACAATCCAAAAGGGAAATTAAGAAAATAATTCAATTTAAAACAGCATAAAAAGAAATAAAGTATTTAGGGATAAACTTAATTTAAAAAGTTAAAATATTCTACAAAGAAAACTTCAAAACATTTCTGAAAGAAATTAAAGAGGATGCAAATAAATGGAAAACCACCTTGTGCACATGGATGCAAACAATTAATATTGCTAAAATATTAATACTACTCAAAGTAACACATAGATATAGCATCATCTTTATCAGAATCCTATCAGCATTTTTTTCAGAAATAGAAAAGTCTATACTAATTTATAGTCTAGACTAAATTATATGGAATCTTAAGGGATGTCTCATAGCCAAAACATTGTTGAAAAAGACGTTCAAATTTGAAGATCTCACATTTCCTGATTTCAAAATTTATTACAAAGATGCAATAATCAAAACAGTGTGACACTGGCATAAGACAAACATATAGAATAATAGAATAGAAAGGAGAGTCCAGAAATAAAATGCATACATATATTAAAATTATTTCAACAAAGTTGCCAAAGCCATTCGATGGGAAAAGGACAGTCTTTTAAACAAATGGTATTGAAAAAGCTAGATATTTACATGCAAAAGAAGTTTGACCCTTACCTTACACAATTTACTAAAATTAACTTAAAACAGATAAAAGATTTAAACATAAGATGTAAAATTATACCACTTTTAGAAGAAAATATATGAGATATCTTTATGACACTGGATTTAGCAGTGAATTCTTTGATATGACACTAATAGATTAGAAAACAAAAGTTAAAAAAAATAAATTGGACTATATCAAAATTTAAAACTTTAATACATTATAGGATTCAATCAAAAGAGTGAAAATGTAGCTTATAGAATGTGAGAAAATATTTGCAAATGATATATCTGTTAAAAGCTTACTATCCAAAATATTTTAAAATACACAACCCAACAAGAAAAAGGTATAACATATTTAAAAAGTGGACAAAGATCTTTTTTTTTTTTTTTTGCAAACGTTAATCTGATTTTATTTTTATTTTCTTTGTCTTCATTTCAATTGTTTATATCTCTGTAAAAGCACCAGAGAGCACCAACATTATCTTCAAACGTGTTGGACACAGTTGTTGTTTTTTTTCTCAAACTAATAATAGTTATTTTTAAAAAGGAGGGGTTTCCTCTGAAGGTGGAGTACAGCACCATGCATCAGGCAAATGTCCTGGCCTTCTGTGGGACAGCATTGCTTGACCCATCTGGTTTGATTCACAGCAGTTCTTTCAACAGCTTCTTCCTGAGACATGAACCATGAATAGGGCACCAGCTATTCTTATAAGGACTCAAACCTCCAAAATCTGCTTGACCTCTTAGGATTTGATTTTTTTGCAATTGGAAAGAGACCTTCAGGAATATTTTTTTAACGTTCAGAATCTATTAATCTGGATCCATCCGGTTTACACCCTCAGTGTCCATGAAGACCCAAGCTTTTCAGCACAGCAGACTGTGTTTGCTGTGAGAAGAAAGTTCTGAGTGAGGGAGGCTCTGAGTGAGTTTTGACAAACCACACAAAGCTAACTGTCTTCTTGTGCTTGGGGCTGCTGACCTTGCTGGGGGAAAGTCTGACAGATGCAATGCCTCCCTTTGCAGTCTTTCATCTGTACATTAAACTAAACATCACCACACAGGCCCACCTTCACTACCGGGAAGAAAGCTAAGCTACTATGATATAATTGTATTCAACTATTCACTCTTCCTTTCTAAAAAACCTGAAACCACATGGCATTATAGATATTTAATTGCAACATACATGAGTTGCTAATATCTACGTGTGGTTTATGCATAGTATATGTAGCTAGTATCTATGTATAAATTCTCTGTGTAATATTTAGGCTTAAATAAATACATACATAAATAAAACTGTACTCGCAGTTTTGGATCTGAATGTATTTAAATAATTACTGTGAGCCAGAGATTCTTACTTGCCTACCAAAATAGCCATTATTTCCTTGTCTCTTAAATTAGCAGAACCCAAACATTTAGAATATAGCTGCCCGGCCAAAAGACTACATTTCCCAGCCTTTCTTGCTTGTGAGGTCATGTGACTACTGTCTGGCCAATGAGATACAAGAAGTGTTGAGGGGGCCTTCTGAGAAGCCTCCTTAGCCTAGGAGGGTGTATGTGCTCTTTGTTGCCCTTTCCTCTGTTCTATCCGAAACAGGGATGTGATGACTGGAGATGTAGTCAGCACTGGGTGTTGAGGATAAAGGCAGTGAGGGTTGGTGAATAAAAAAAGCCTGGGATTCTGATGACTTCATCAATTTCCCTGATGGTCTGCCTCCAGACTTCTTCTATACAGGAAAGAAACAGACCTCTATCTTGTTTAAACTACTGATATTTGGATTTTAATTATATTTAATATATAAATCAAAATCTAAGTGATACACACATATCTTTACATTCTGCTACACTGTTGCAGCCTGCTTCTTAAATATTTCACTCCATCCCTATCTATTACCTTATTGGTGGACTTGGGTCTCCCGTGAGCCTCCTTATTCTCCCTGTCACATTTAGTCACATCTCCCCTGGGTTCCAGGCACCAGGAACACCTCCAAGCTCCTGAACTGACACACACCTGAGCTCCCTTGTCTCAGAAAAATGGTCATCTTAGGTCAAGGAATGAAGAAGAGTTTATCCACTGGATGGACTATCTGGGCACAGATTGCTTTTCTGTTTTCTGCCCTCCTGGAAACCAACAAGATGGTAGAACAGATCAGTGTGGGCTAAAATTTTCCAGAAGAACTGTGTACGGGGGAAGGCGGGGGAGGAATAATTTAAAGAAGGAATATTCTGAAATTGGAAGATGATATACAGGCTACTGAGACCAGAGAATCAAGTAAGTTTTTGGGAGTTTAGACAGTGGATGTTTTTACCTCCTGGGTGGCATCCTTGTTGGACAGATTGCCTGAGATATTGTCAGATTCAAGCAGCTCCACAATGCTGTAGGGAGAACAGTCTTCCAGACCCAGCTTGCTGCATAGCCAGCCACAGAAGCCTTTCTCCATGTCCCGGGCAGCTTGCCACCATGCTCCCCAGGACCATGAGAGCTGGACCACGGCAGCATAGAGGCCCAGGGAAGAGGCCATGGCCATGATGAGCAATGGATAGAGGAGAATGAGGCAGGGGCAACATGAGATCTTGTGCCAGAAGGTCCTCTCCTCATTGTACACAAGAAAGATATTATACCAGGTGATGGTGCCATAGTAGAAAGAGACCACAAAGGAGAGGATGAAAACCACAGGCAGGCAGACCAGCATCCAGAGGACCACGTGGGGCCCACGGTCTGCTCCCAGCTGGCAGGCCTTTCTGCCTTCAGATGCCATTTCCCTTGAAGACACTTTAGGCTTGGTGAGTTCCTGCAGCTCCTTCTCTGTCAACATGACATGGATATCCACCATCTGCCCCTTTTTCTTCCCTCGGGTGATGGTCCCAGTTAATGTGACATAGCAGCTGTCCACAGGCATGTTCCACATACATGTATTAAATAGTTAGCATGGTTGTCTTGTATTACTATTTTTTGTGTATAAATCGGTCTCTTCCATTACACAAGGAGTTCCAAAAGGGCAGAGATCTCTTCTGTATCACCATCATCCACAGGATAGTCTAGGAAATCATCTCCCTCCTCCTCTTTAGGCTGATCTCCACCTTCTAATTCCCCAGGCTCCTCATCCAGTTTCTCACTCTCTGACCGGTAGATGATAATAGATTCTGGGCAGGACTCTTTCTTCTTTTTCCTGCGACCCAGTGTGGATTCCCCATCAAGGGCCAGGGCAGCTGCCATGGCTTTCCTCAGAGAGCCCTGGTGGGGGCTTGGGAGCTGGCCCTGGCCTTCCACTGGTGCTGGCTCTTCCATCCTAGTCTTCAAATCTAGCGATTCCTTGTAAAGAGTCCAATTTGCTTGAGCAAACTCACGATCCACACATCACAGAGCTTCTTCCAGGATGGGGCTATGCAAAGACGTTCCAACGATGAGTTGCACAATGTAAAGATGAAAGGAAATTTGGTTCAGACCAGTATCGAGTGATTGGAGCGATGATGGGACAGCAGCTTAGAAGTCGCAGCTTCCAGCCCGTTGCTGTGGTTGACTGTGAGCACAGTCAGGCTGCAGCCTTTTCCTCTGTGGTCCTGTGAGCAGCATTTCTCTTGTCTCCTGGTCCTGAAAGGCTCCCACACTGAGGCTGGTTCATCATCTCGGGAGCATCTGACTGTCTACACGTGCCGGGGAGATAGGCAGGCGGACAGTTTGAACGGTAAGGACGCCACCTTGGGGGAGCAGTTCTGCCGGACAAAGATCTTGAGTAAACATTTTTCCAAGGAAGATATACCAATAGACACCAATCATCTAAAAAGATGTTCAACTTCACTAATCATTAGGAAAATGCAAATCAAGACCACATTGAAATATCCCTCATATTCATGAGAATGGCTACTATCAAAAACCAGAGGTAAGAATGTGGAGAAATTGGAACACTTGTGCACTGTTTGTGTAAATGTAAAAAGATGCAGCTGCTATGGGTAACATTATGGTGGTTCTTCAACAAATTAAAAATAAAATTACTATATGATTCAACAATTTCACATCTTAGTATAAATTCTAAAAATTAAATGCAGTGTCTTGAATAAATATTTGTATATCCATGTTAATTACCATAACAAAAAGGTGGAAGCAACTCAAGTATCTATCAACAGAAGAATGGATAAACAAAATGTGGTCTACATATACATTCAGCCTTAAAAGTAAAGAAAATTCTGACACATTTTATAACATGATTAGACTCTGAAGACATTATACTGAGTGAAATAAGTAAATTACAAAAACACAAATACTGTATAATTCCACATATATGAGATATCTAGAGTAGCTGAATTAATAGAAACAAAAGAAAAATGGTGGTTGCTAATAGGGGAGGGAGGAATGGAGAATTGTTTAATCAGTAGAGAGTTCAGGAATAAGTTGCAGAACTATGTGAATATTCTTAACAATAATAAACTTACACTTAAAGTTGGTTAAACTGTAAAATTTATGTTATGTGTATCTGACCACAATTTTATAAAAAGAAGTCCCTTGATGAATCAGTGAAATATTTAACTGCATTAAAATTATACTATGATATTGATTTCCACATTCTTTTTAACAAGGAATAAAAATTGTTCACTAAGTATGATGAAGCAAAACCTCTTTTGACATCTTATTATTTTACTTTCTGTATATTTGGTTAATCAGCAGCACCTAGTTTTATTCATACAGGGAATCTTTAGTCTTGCATTCTGTATTAACTAAAACTTCAGATAAAAAAAATTTTTTTTTCTAAAGAGTAGAGGTTAGCATCAGAGTAAAATTTTACATTATGTGTTAATTTTTGCAAATAGATATTATTATGGTTAATATATATGTAGAATAAATTGTAACTTGTCTTAATCTATGTCTAAATCTCAAGTAGTTCTTTGGGGACATTTTTAAACATTAGGGTTAAAGAATCTCTGTAGGTATTCTTATATATTCATATGTATAACAGTGGAATCTGGTTGATAATTTTAGTCACAGTTATGTATGCCAAATGTTTAATCAAATAAATATTAACCAGTTTTATTGAAGCATTTTTTTATTACAGAAGGTACCTTAAGACTCAGTGGTGCACAGTAGAAACTCAGTAAGTATATTCAAATCAACTTAATAATTGTAATCAATAATATTTTTATTAAAATACAAAATCCTCAAACTCATTTTCTCTTAAAGGTCAAAGTTTAATGATTTAAAGAACCCATGAGGGTTTCCCTGGTAGCACAGTGGTTAAGAATCTGCCTGCCAATGCAGGGGACACAGGTTTGAGCCTTAGTCTGGGAAGATCCCACATGAAGTGGAGTAACTAAGCCTGTGCACCACAACTACTGAGCCTGTGCTCTAGAGCCCACGAGCCACAACTACTGAGCCTGTGTGCCACAACTACTGAAACCTGTGCACCTAGACCCCATGCTCCACAACAAGAGAAGCCACCACAATGAGAAGCCCACACATCACAATGAAAGAGTAACCCCCACTCACTGCAACTAGAGAAAGCCCGTGCACAGCAACAAAGACCCAACACAGCCAAAAATAAATAAATAAATAAGTTTATATATTAATAAAAGAAACAAGAGTACCGTGGTAAGGCACAAAAGAAACCAGAACCCATGAGCCCTCAGCTGACCCTGGATACAACCCTAGACCCAGGACCCACAGGACCCTGTAGTCAGAGACCCTGGGACAAAGCTCCACCAACCAGTGGGCAGGCACCAGCCACAGAATCTCCTGGTTCCCAACCCTGCCCACTAGAGAGCCTGCTCTAGCCTCTGTATTAGCCTCACCCACCAGTAGGTGGACACCAACCTTGGGAAAATCACAGCCCCGCAACCTGTGGACCAAGAAACTTCCCTGAGACTACATGGACCCTTGCTATGCCCATTAGCAGGTAAACACAAAATTCTAGGCACACTAGGTCCTGCAGCCAACTGTGTCATGAACCAGCCCTACCCATCATAGCCCTACCCAGAGCAGGGATATGTAATGTGCTGTGGGTCCCCAAGGCCCTGCAGCCAGACCTTAGGAAAGATGCTGCCTTCCAGTGAGTTTGCACTAGCCCCAGGACCTGGCTTCACTCATCAGTGGGTGGGCAACAGCCCCCAAATCTCTTATGCCATGAATCCACCAAGCAGTGAGCCAGTCCTAGCTCTGGAGCTTTCCACACTTCCTCAGTCAGCTGCCTCGTGACTTGGTCCCATCAAACAGCAGCTGACAGACTCTGCACAAGGCAGGGCTTGGCATCCACCAGATTAGAGGTAAATCAAGCCTACCAGACTGCCCACATAGTCAGCCCACCCCAACAGAAGGATCCATCCAACCATCATAAGGGAAACTTCTAGAGCATGTAGCTTGGAAGATGAGAGGGGAGTACACTGCAGGGATCATAGGACTCCTCCTACAGAGGGTTACTTCCCTAAGGTCTGGAGATGTAACAAACATACCAGATAAGCAGAAAAAAAAGCAAGTTAGACAAAATGAGGTGACAGAGGAACATATTCCAAATGAAGGAACAAGGTAAAACCCCAAGGGAAGAAATATAATAACTATTAGCAGTGATTGTAAAGATGATAGAAGTACTCAGGAGAACAATATATGCACAGAGCTGAGAAGTTAGGCATTTTTAACAAAAAGAAAATATAAAGAACACCCAAACAGACATGAAGAATACAATAACTGAAATTAAAAATACACTAGAAGGAATCAATAGTAGACTGAATGATATACAGAAGTGGATCAGTGAGCTGGAAGACAGAGTAGTGGAAACCACTGATGCTGAACAGAATAAAAGAAACAAGAATAAAAAGAAATGAGAGCAGTTTAAGAGACTTCTGTGACAACATCAAGTGCAGTAATATTCACATTAGAGGGAACCAAAAAGGAGAAGAGAGAAAGGACCTGAGAATATAGTTGAAGATATCATAGCTGAAAAATTCCCTAACCTGGGAGAGAAAATAGACTTCCAGGTCCAGGAAGCACAGAGAGTCCCAAACAGGATTAATCCAAAGAGAACTACACCAAGACACACTGTAACTAAAATGGCAAAAGTTAAAGAAAAAGAGAGAGTATTAAAAGTGGCAAGGGAAAAGCAGCAAGTTTCATACAAGGGAACTCCCATAAGACTGTCAGTTCAATTTTCAGCGGAAACTCTGGGGGGCAGAAGGGTTGGTATAATATGTTTAAAATGATAAAATACTCTATCTATCAAAACTGTCAGTCAGATTCAATGGAGAGATAAATAGCTTTACAGACAATCAAAAGCTAAAAAGGTTCAGCACCACCAAAAACCAGCTTAACAACAAATGTTAAAGGGACTTTTATAAGTGAACAAGAAAAGACTACAACTAGAAACATAAAAATCTCATTGGTAAAGTCAAACATACAGTAAATGTAGGAAAACATCAACACACAAAACTAGTAGGAATATTAAAAGACAACAGTAGTAAAGTCATCTATATCAACAATAAACACTTAAGTGACTCAGAAAATAATTAAATTTAAAATATGATGTTGAAAAAAGTTATCATAAGGGGAGGAGAGAATAAAGGCTGTGTTGTTAAACTGCACTTGAAATTAAGGTATCAGCAACTTAAAACAATCATAGATGATAGATAGATAGATATAGATAAATAGATAGCTTTATAAAAACCTCATGGTAATCACAAAACAAAAATGTATAATAGATACACACACAAAAAGAAAAAGGAATCCAAACATAACACTAAATATAGGCATCAGATCACAAGAAAAGAAGAAAGGGAAAAGGAAAAGAACTATAAAAACAACACAAAAACAATTAACAGGGCTTCCCTGGTCACGCAGTCGTTGAGAGTCCGCCTGCCAATGCAGGGGACACGGGTTCGTGCCCTGGTCTGGGAAGATCCCACATGCCGCGGAGTGGCTGGTCCCGTGAGCAATGGCTGCTGAGCCTGCGTGTCCGGAGCCTGTGCTCCGCAATGGGAGAGGCCACAACAGTGAGAGGCCTGCATACCACAAAAAAAAAAAAAAAAAAGTTAACAAAATGGGAATAAGAACATACATATCAATAATTACTTTTAAATGTAAATGGACTAAATGCTCTAATCAAATAACACAGAGTGGCTGGATGGATACAAAAACAGGAATTTTATATATATGCTGCCTACAAGAGACCCACTTCAGATCTAAAGAGACACACAAACTGAAAGAAAAAGAATGGAAATTTTAATTCTATGCAAATGGAAATCAAAAGAAAGCTGGGGTAATAATACTTATATCAGACAAACAATCTTTAAAACAAAGATTGTTACAAGAGACAAAGAAAAGCATTACATAATGATCAGGAGGTCAATTCAAGAAATTAAAACAATTGTAAATATATATGCATCCAAAATAAGAGTACCTAAATGAAAGAACAAAT